GGCATATCAGGCAGATTGTTTGCAATAAAACATTTATTTCTGGATCACTGAACTACTGCTTATTTTCTAATTTTCAGGATGGAGTTCCATAATATTAAATATGGAATTGCATCCTGAGAATTAGAAAATAAGCAGTAGTTCAGTTCTTTTGACAGTAATTAGATTTAACGGAGCTCTCAACAATCTTGCAGCCAAACTCTTTGATTATAGTAATGTCAAAAGCTGCCTGTTTCAGTATTTCAGTAGTCAGTCATCAATTCCAGAGCTAAGTTAGCCCACAACAGTTGTTCTAGCTTTCAAGGTATCAGTCTTTTTGTCCATATTAGGACACAATTATACAGCCCTCCACATCTAGAAGGCAATTCAGAGAGTGACCAGCTAACTGATGCACCAGAAGCTTTCTACTAAACTTTAGAGAAGTTTCATTGTGTAGACTGTAAATGAGATTTTACAAGGAGGAAACAGAGATACAAAACATTTTTCAACTACCAATTCCGTAACATAGAGGCACTCTCAAGATGTGGGCCTCAGCAAATGACCTAATCACATGGTGTTAGCTCTTATGCTGTACTAAGCACAGCAATCTGTGCAGAGGTGGCTACCAAATCTGATCATACACTATAAATAGAATGTAATGAGTATGACAATGATAGGAAATACTGAGCAAAATAATTATGTTTTAGGCTGGAATAGGATAGATGTTCCAATCTATTCCCTGTTCTATTATGCATAAGCCTACCCTTTCCATGTATTCTAAGAGTCTCTTCTGGCCAGGTACCACAGTGTTGTTCCCTGGGAGGTGAAACTGACTAGGATATCATGATAGTTTCATAGATTATTTTACTTCTTGGCAAGCACAGAAGCAACAATTCAGCTAGAATTCTTGAGAAAGAAAGTGATTAAGATTGCAGGATAAATTTACATGCCATACCACGCATATCAGCACGTTTAAACATTGGGAAGGGTTTCTTTGGTCTATCTTGGTTATAGAGATGAAAAGCATGTGTGAAATCATGTACCATCATATATTTAAAGTTTTTTCATGTCAAACCCACTTATTTTGTTAAGGTTAACACTGTTGCTGGCTAATCTACTTTATGCACAGGACAGCTGCATTGACACATTAATAGTAGAACTTTTGCCTAATGTACATATGCATCTAATGTGTACTACAAATGACTTGCTCAGATTAGCTTCTCTGCACACTGGTTTCACCATCTGTAAAATAAGAAATGGATAAAGAATCCTACACAAGTGCTCTGGTAAAAGATTATTTAGGACCAGTACAGCTCAATCCTCCAAAGAAGGTGCTACTAAGTGACGCAAAGAAAAGACACTTACCTCTGCTACAGATTGCAGGCTCCGGGCAAATTTCAGCTGGTTAACACCATGATTTACGGGTTTACCATAGGTAGCACCTTTTGGGACTGGGCGTTTACGACCACCACGACGGACACGAATGCGGTAGATGACGTAACCTGCAAACAGAATTAAAAAAAAAACCTGAGTCCCCCCACTAAGGCCTATACTTCTATGCTACTGCAAGTACTGTTTTTGTAGAATAATTTTCACTCGTTGCTCACCAAGTAGTACAGTACACTAAAAGCTTATCTGCAACAAAGTTTTGGCATCAACAGTTCCACAGGCATAGAGTATTCTAGTTTGGGATCTGAAATAATCTACCAGTATAAAGTAAATTTATATAGTTATAACTGCAAGGTATAACCAGGGCTCGACAAATAATGCAATCTACTCGCCCGTGGTGAGTAGACTGCAACCCAGAAGAGCTGGGTTCGGGCGATCTGTGCATGCGCAGATCACCAGACAGTGTGGCTGGCGAGCGGGGCTGGCCACAGTTCGGCGAGCCCTGGGTATAACCATACTAGCAAAAAAAACCCACAACACCATACACCTAATCAATGCAGTTATATCAGTAAAATAATTAAGTGTAGATCAGCCCTAACACACTCCTGAATTTTATAATTAGGCACAAAAGGCAAGCAATATTTCAAAGATGTCAGGCTAACAGCCTTTATCCACAGTGCCTAACTAGCCAGCTGGAAGAAGCAGCTCAAAACTTGTCTTCATTGCAGTTAGCCCAGGCTCTGACCTTGATGTGGTCCCTACATTTCCTCCCATCCCCACACAAACACTTTAAACAAGTTTTACATTTTATCCCTGGTGTGGTTGGGAATGTGAATTAGAGCACATGTTCCATTTTCAATTGGACAAATAATTTGTACACCAGCGGTCACCAACCAGTAGATCGGGATCTACTGGTAGATCTTGGAGCCTTTGACAGGTGATCCTGACAGGTTTGGCTGGGAGGCTGCCTAGTGCCGGCACTTCATCTGCCCCTCTCAGCGCTGCCCCTGCCCTCTGCCTTGGAGCTGCCCCCCCATCTCTGGGAGCCTCTTGCTTACCGTGCAGGGCAAAGGAAGAAGAAGAGGGGTTGCTGATATCAGGGTGCTCCTCCCCCCACCCTGTACTCCATCTCCACAGAGCAGAGTGGGGCAGGGACGAAGAGAGTTTACTGGCTACTTTTGGGAGTGGTGGAAGGCCAGAACAAGGGTGAGCCTGAATTAGCCCCCTACCCCACCATCCAGAAGCCACCTGTAGTAAGTGGTGCCCAACTGGAGCCTGCATTCCGAACCCCGTTCCCCATCCAGAAATCCTCCTGTACACCCAAACCCCTCCCCTAGCCCCAAGTCCCCCTGCACCCAAACTCCCTTCCAGAGCCTACACCTTCCTGCACTTCAGCTCCCTGCCCCAGCTCTGAACCCCTTCCACATTCCAAATCCTTTAGCTCAAGGTCAGCGGCCACATCCCTCTCCCCTGCACTCCAGCCCTCTGCCCCCAGCCTGATAAAAGTGAGTGAGGATGGAGGAGTGAGGATGGAGTGAGCAGGGGCAGGGCCTTGGAGAAGGGGTGGGAAGGAGGCAGGGCAAGGGGGTTTGGGGTGGGGTAGATCCTGGATTGCACTGAAATTCAAAAAGTCATCTCATGCTTAAAAAGTTTGGAGACCCCTACTGTACACTTTGCAGAGAGAATATAGACTACATCACCAAGTTCTAACAGGCCTCCAGTGCCTTCCCATAATTCTCTGTGTGCCCAGGACAGACATGGTCCCCAACAATTCACTGGGTAAGAATCAGGGCTCAGTTAACTGAAGCACACAGAACCATGGGATATATCCCCAGAAGTGTTGGTGACACTGAGGAATGCAGCACAAGAAACAAAAAGTTAAGACTCTCAGTGAAGTGCATGATTAAGTAGACAGCATGCTCACAGTTACACTGTGTAATATTCAATCGTGGAAAGAGCTACCAAAAAAACATTAACATTTGCACTATTAAAACAGGCTCACTTCACATCCCTTTAGTTCTATTTACCTTGTTTAGCCTTATATCCCAGTCTACGGGCTTTGTCTGGCCTGGTTGGTCGGGGAGCTCGATGTAGGGCAGACAACTGGCGATATTGCCAACAGCGGACACGCAGGAGGAAACGCATCACATCGGACTGCTTCTTCCTCCATAGCTCTTGGATGTATTTATAGGCACCCATGTTTGTTTACCTATGAATTACAGATCTGTGTAAGTTTGCAACATCTTTTCAACCCTCCCCACTCCCAACCCACAAAAATCAGACAAAAAGAATAAAAAATTTGCTGCTGTATATGAACACATTTTCACAGTTCTCTATGTATTTGTCAAGCATGACCACATTGCTAAAACAGCTCATATCCGAGATTCTGGAGATCTGTAAATAATCTGACACACACCAATTACTATCCTGAAGTTTCCTTTGTTTTTATCATTTTATGTCTTTATACATCATGAACTCTTCAGGGCAAAGATTATTTTTTCCCCCTTTATGAAAGTGCTCAGCATCTTTTGGCAACTTCCACAAACTAAATAATATTTGACCTGAATTTTAGTATTGCTCTGTAAAACTTAAGGGAAGAGACACTATACCTAATTTCTTCAGGGACTGAACAGCTTACTTTACCAGTGTCCCAAATGTTTCTGAGAACCTCCTCAGTGAGGCTTCCCAAATCAGGCTATGAGGACTGGCCTCCTTCAACTGTAGTGTGACCCCCTCCACACCATATGTGCCAGTCAGAATCCCTTGCACTTTTAAGGCTTGTCACCTCGATCCCTCACCCTCTAAGGCAGTGTTTCTTAACCAGTGGTACAAGTACCCTACTTGAGGGAAGTCTGGGGGGGGGTATGTCAACACAACTGAAATTTGGAAAAAACTGAATTTTTGATTTAAGTTTTACAGCGCTTTATTATTTTTGTACTTTTTACACCCCAAAATGTCATCACCTGCCTGGCTACCATTAAGTTGTTTAAACAAATGAGTTGCAATGGGAGGAAAAAAAAATTCTGTCTAAAGACTGCAGGTACGGCGGGGGAGTGCTTATAATTTTTAAATGAGTACTTTATAAAAAAAAAAAAAGGCTGAGAAACACTGCCCGAGAAGGGCTGCACCATGGCAGTTCGCTGAGAGACCCAGACCCCCGCCGCAACCCCCGCGTGGCTATTCGGAGGGCCCGCCCTGCGCCTAGCCGCCCAGTGGGGCTCCCTGCCACAGCCTGCGCCCCGGGCACCCCCACGCCGCGGGCAGGCCAGTCCCAGCACCGCTCGGGCCCGAGCCATCCTCGGCCCCGGCCCTTGCTACGGGATCCGGGCCGCCCGGGCCTGGCCCGCGCAGGGAGCGGAGGATGAGGGGCGGATGGGCAGCTCCAACCTCCGATGGGGGCGGATGAAGCCAACAGCCCAGAACAGGCCATATCCTCACCTGATGGCGCCCGAAGCCGGAAAGGAAGAGACCAAACTCCCACGCTCCTTTGCGGTGCCCTATCACTTCCGTCCCTTGCGCCAGCGCCTGCTGGGAAACGTAGTTCTAAGCGGCCAAATTCTGATTGGCCTATTCCTCCTCCCCCCTCCACTGGCCCCGCCCCATCCCAGCCAATAAAAGGAGAGGGGGCGGGGCTGCGATCACAAGTCGGATTGTGGGTGGGCAGGGCGTGAGGAGGCGCGTCACTCCCCTCCCCCAGGTGGGCGGAGCATTTTTCTGTGCGGGTGGGGGCCGCGGCTAACGAGGCGACCCCTCAGCTCAGGTCCCCGCCCCCTTCCTCGCGCTCCCAGGGACGCCCCTGTTGCTAGGCTCGCAGCTGTAGGGAAGGGCTGGTCTAATGGCCCTGGAGAGAGCCCCCTCTCCGCAGCTCCTCCCCCCAGCCTGGCCAGCATCTGCAGGCCCCTGGCACCTTCTCTACACCACAGCTGCCCCTTTTCTTGGCCAGGGGTCCCTGCTCCTCTAGCCAGTGTGTTCAGGTGGCACCTTGGTATAAGCCACCCCCCAGCCGTGCCCAAATCGCACATCAGGTCCCTTTGCAGCCTGTGACTGCCCTGCATGCAGCTGTTATCAGCCTGCCAGTGTCTGAACTTTTGGGGGACCCCTCTGCCAGCTTTTCCCTGTGATCGTGAAAGTGAGACACGTGCTGGGTTTGAAATGCAGGCCCAGGTGCTGGAGTGATCAGATGGAAAAAAATATGTAAAACCCCCAATGTTGTGGTGGGAGCTGGCAGCTCAGACAACGTGCTGGGTGCTGTACAAACATAAAACCAATCTGAAAAGGCTGCAAGGCTGTGATCCTGGAAGTAAGCAAGCAGGTGTGTAACTCAACTTGTGGGAATGGCCCCATGGAAATGGAAGAAATTGCTTGCCTCTGAAAATGTGTGTAAATGTTGGCAGGCTTGAAGCTGGGGGAAGCAAATTGCATTGTCCTGGAAATAGCAGCTGCTGGTGACCTCTTCAGAGAGAACTTTGATTCAATATCACCTCCATCTCTTATTGACCCATAAGATTAAAACATACCATAGCACAGGGGCTATGTCTACATTATAGCCTCTTGTGCAAAAACATATGCAAATGAGGCAAAGTGTGGACTACTGCTGTACTTCATTTGCATAATTAACGAGGCCCCGTTTTTGTGCAAGAGGCTATAGTGTAGACATAGCCTAAATGTTTCAGCAGCTTTGCTTTACTTTGTCTGCAGAGTTCCGTTAATGTAATTCTTAAGTATAATAGATCCCTGTGCTTGAACAGGATTCATTTGCTGACTTTGCCATCCTGAAAGAAGATGGGAAAGGGCTACAAAGTGGTGATTTGTGGAATGGCATCAGTGGGAAAAACAGCAATTTTGGAGCAGCTTCTCTATGGAAAACATACTGTTGGTGAGATATGTTTTCCTTTTTTAAGATGTTCCAAGAAGTTTTAGAGGTACCAATCTGGGTTTAATTTCTTACCTCTCCTGAGGTGAAAGGGGAAGAATGAACATAGTTTTGTCAGTGATCAGTGTTCTGGAACTCTTCCGAACATTGTTGCAAGGCTTCGATATCACCTCTTTACTGACACTTACAAAGTGACAATAAAATTGTCCTATGGATGTGTGTGAGGTGTGTGTGGGGAGCGGACATTGTTTATTTGTTCTTCCTGCTGCTTAACACAGAAGTTTAAAGGGGGGGGGGGAGATAAATAAATTGGAGGGAGAAACGTGTGTTCTTTCTGCTTGTTTTTTGACACTAGAAAATCTGATCTTCCACCTGGGAGACTACATAGATGACTGTAGAATAAGTAGACTTATTACATCTGAGGTTTTATAGATATGGATACCTACAATGGGAAATCTGCTAAATTGAGAAGGGTGCTGATTTCATTTTTAATAGATTCTTTAGAACTTAGTTTTATTTGTGATTGACACCTGTTTAGCTGAACATCTAAATTTCATAGCACTGGTGCACTTCACCCTGACTTGTCTTGAGAGAATAGAGCGTTGACTGGTTAATTTCTCCAAAAGACATCTGGACAGGCTTTTGAAAATTTCCCTCCATTCACTGATGGAGATCATCCCTGTGCTTTGTGGTGCTTATGGGCCCTCTGTTTCTGCCAGAGCTTATCAGCTATGAGACAGAAGGATGCTGAGAACTTCATTTCTGTTGAAAATGCTTTTCTTTATATTTCTGCCTCCTGTCTACAAAAGAAGGCCCACCACTATGTATGCTTTGTCCAGCTTCGCACATATGCTTGGAATAGATCCCCAGTACTCAACCTCTGGCAAGACAGGAGCCTACAAGCTGTAAGGTGAATTATAGGAATATAGACAATAGCGAATATGCTTTGCCAAAATCCCCACATGTACATACAGCCTGAGTCAGGGTTTTCAAAGGTGCCCAAAGAACACAGTGAAAGCAGAGATCCCGTTAAAAGGCAATAGCTCTTCTGTTCCTAAGAGCCTTGAATATTTCTGACATTTTTATGTAATCTGTTCTGAATATTTGCAGTTTCTTTTTGCATTGTCTAAATTTACTAATATTACATAATAATATTACATGGTGTCAAATATTTATTGGTAAATGACTATCAGTATCTTTGATCCTTACTCTTCACATTTCTAAATTGTAAAACCACTGATACGATACTTGAGCAGCATTTACAGTGTGCCTTGTCTACTACAGATGAAATTTGCCAGCACAGTTCTTTCATAGTATTGATTATCATTGTAAATAAGGATTGTTCCTCCTCACCTCAGACCCGCCGAGATCTAGGCTAGCTAAGTAATGGTATAAATGACGTGCCTTTCACCTCCCATTAATCTTTAGCACTGTTTTATAACAGTTGTAACAAGGTCTCAAAAAAATGTCTGTAGGGAGATTGTACTAGCCAATAGCTGTAAATACTCTTGGCAGCATGGTTTCAACCATAGCATTGTCGGGTGATTCTGTCATCCTTCTCTAGCTGATGTGTGAAGTCTAAGCTTATGAATCATCTTCAAAGGCGGATTATTCTAAATGGGGGAAATTCCCGCTACATAACGGCCAGTAGGAGATTTATGTGCTACCTAAATCCTGTTTTGAGTGGCGCACAGGCCTCATGCTGCTCTTTTGCAAAGGGCTGAATTTCATCTATTGAGATTACTGCTGTGTAAATTCCTATGCCTGCGAGGTGCTTAAGGTCCTCCATCATTGTGATTTCTTCTCACTTCCACTCTCCGTTCTTTCCAGCACGAAGGACCTTTTTACCCCTTTCTCATCAGGTAAGAATATAGGCATATCTGTTGCTGCTTCCATTATATTGGTTGTGAAGAACTGCCACAATTACAATGACTAGAGACAGAGAGCAGGCAACAATTACTGTTTCCAGACCAGACTCAATTAGCTACTAGTTTTTGAAAATACCCCAGCACACCATGCTGCTACCATTTTTCTGAATCAGATCTACAACCTTATTTCACACTCATTCTCTTTTTATTAACCTTTCTGATCTTTCTTAGTGTTGTGCCTCATGTCAGCATAGCTGTATTTGGAGGCAAGATCAATTAGTTTGGTCAGAGTTTGCTGTGAATCTAATGGGAATTTGATTTATGAAAACGAGTAAAAAACAGGAGTGAGGAAAGTAGCAAGGAGAGATTGTGCCACTTTTTTTTTCTGGAAACAAAGGTTGCATGCAGCAGGGGAAATAATCGGCATATACGTGGGTGGAATACTTCAGCTTTTTTGTCAGAATGAAGGGTTTCAAATAGCGTTATTAAGCATAGTAAAATCACTGTTTTCTAAAACAATGTATCAATATTGTCTGTCTGAAAAACAAACAAAAAATTCGTCACCAACAAGCGTATATTTGTAGATGTGCAGTGGAGGCAAGAGATGACAATTTTGGTAACAGAAGGTTTGTTTGAAAACTTGAAACTATTACTAAAAGCAGTGAGCTAGGCTGCATTCAAACATTCTTCAACTTTGCTGCTTATAGCATCATTTGGCCTGAATCTCCCTGTTGGGTAGTTAGTACCTTACATAAGTAGTCCCACAGACTTCACGAATTATTTCTCCTGCTCTACTTTTGGAGTAAGGTACTATTCAATATGAAGATGAGTGGCAATTTCAGGGCTGTAGGGATTAGATAGGGTGCTAAAGATAACTAAGTCTTACTACTTTTTCCTCCATTATGCTCCCCGAGGGGCCAATTAGGACTCTTCCACAGCCACCCATAGATATAGCACAACTGGTACAGTTTTGGTGGGCAGGATTTGGGGCATCTATAGGATGGGCCATCTAAGATGAATCATCCTGAACTTATGCCTATGAAAATGAAATTACATATATTCATCTGTGTATTGTACATGTGTATGTGACATGGTCTCTACTGTAAATAGCTGGCCTGTTGGTCTTGCTGAGAACATGATAGGATCTGAGTTTAAATCCTGTTTTAAAAAAGCAATATATTATAAAAAAAATAGATTAAAATGCACGGTTGAAAGCTATGAGTGCTGGTAGTTTTACTGCAGTATGAATAAATACTGATATCACTTTACAAAATGTATTATAAGTATTAACACTTAGGGCTTGGGGGGGCTTTTTAAAAAACACAGGTTTAGAAGAGGGAGCAACAGTGGAAGACGTGTATTTGGCGTCAGTCGAAACAGATCGTGGGGTAAAGGAACAGTTACGGCTGTATGACACTATGGGTCTGCAAGAGGGTGTAGAATTTCCAAAGCATTACTTCTCTGTTGCTGATGGCTTTGTTCTTGTGTATGCTGTGAACAGCCTTGAATCCTTCCAGAGAGCTGAAGTGCTCAAGAAAGAGATTGACACATTCAGAGACAAAAAAGAGGTAAAAGCTTAATGCCTTAATTTCTTGGCCATGTCTGAGATAGCACAGTAATAGAAAGTTAAATACAAAGCTATACAAAGGAAAGCAACATTTCTGTTCAGTCTCAGGCAAGCTAATGAAAGAAGTTTTCCAATACAGAAGAATTTCATTAATCCACACACTATATAATTGGTGTTAAAGATTCACATCTTGCCCCTCTTCTCAGCAGAAATGTATTTCAGACAGTGGATGAAACAATGTGGTTCATCATCCTCATCTGGTTTTATTTGCATACATGCTCCTTAACAAAATACAGTTAAGGTCCTAGATATAAGAGGCAATTTGCAATGAGGCTCTACTGTAATTTCAGAATGGCTGATAATCACTTCCGTTGTTTAAAATGACTGCTGTATTTTCCCTTAAAAGGCAGCTAGTGCTGTCAGTGTTGCAGCTATGCCAACTCATGTCACCTGTGCAGTACCTTTGTGCTTATCATCTTCTTAGAACATCCATATATCCTTTAATGGTTTCCCCTGCTAAATGCCTTTAGTCATTAGGCCAGCAAAATAAAGCTCATTCAGGTTATTAAAAAGAAAAAAGGGGATGTGGGTAACAGGCAGAATGTCATACCACTTCTTGCAAAACAAAAGGGCAGCGTCTAGATTGGCATGATTTTTCGGAAATGCTTTTAACGGAAAAGTTTTCCATTAAAAGCATTTTCGGAACAGAGCGTCTAGATTGGCATGGACGCTTTTCCACAAAAGCACTTTTTGCGGAAAAGCTTTTTGCGGAAAACAAATCTGAGCTGTCTACACTGGCCCTGACTTTTTTGTGCTTTGCACAAAAGGGACTTTTGCCTGAACGGGAGCAGAATAGTATTTCCGCAAGAAGCACTGATTTCTTACAGTAGGAAGTCAGTGCTTTTGCGGAAATTCAAGCGGCCAGTGTAGACAGCTGGCAAGTTTTTCTGGAAAAGTGGCTGATTTTCCGGAAAAACACAGCCATAATGTACTTTAGTACTCAAAATGTAATGGGGGTAAAGGAAAAGGAAGGAGTAGTGTGACAGCAGTGCAATTTAGTCATGGAAGAGGCAGATTAGCCATGAACCATAGCTGGGTATCTTGTTTCCTGAGTTAGTGGGGCTTCAGTGGGTAGTAGCTGTTATGTTTTTGAAGGTTATTCTGCTTTTCTAAGTCAACTCCCCCTTTTATGTGTGAGTCTGTCAAGGCCTCCGTGGCAAATGAAAGATGCTGTAATCTTGACTAAAGCATGTGGCGGAAATGGTGGCCCTATGCTATAAGAGTTAAAACATCAGCACTATTGACCAAACTTAAAGCAGTAATCCTGACTTGCTTAGAAGGTAATGTTGCTCTGAGAGCTGTGCAGGGACTTTTAGAAGATAGGCAAGAGAATCTGTAGTAAAGTACTTAGAGACAGAAGAACCTCAGGAAAGAAATTACAGGTGTATGATAATCAAAGTCTGCTCAACAGGGAAGAAAGAGAGGCCTGACTACAGGAAAAACTAGTGCTGGCTGGCAGAGGGGAGAAAGAGAGTGAAAACTACCCAAATCAATAGGTGCGGTTTAAAATTTAAGGGACATTGTAATAAGTTTGAATTCAAGACTTTACAGAGCAGGGAGCTGAGCTTCTCTAAGGAGCAGATAATGTAAATACTGGCACTGATTTTGTTACCTATTGCGAACAATTGAGATGTTTAAAACAAACAAAAAAAACCTTTGCAGTACACAAGGTTAAATAGCACTAATAGCCTGATGTAGTCAGTTCTGCTTTCAGCTTATGCACTAGCACAGACTGAGTTGCTAAACATTCAGAGTGTGTTTAGATAAACTCCTCTGAAAAATTGTATTAGTCTTAACTTTTGTACCTAGTTTATATAGCTCTCCTAGGACAATATGCCACCTGAGTGTGATGTTTAGAGGAAAACAGAACTATATGTTGTTCTGAGTAAAGTGCCAGACTCTAGAAATCTCAAAGGGTTATTTTCATGGAGGAAGAGACTGACATTTTATGCTACCATCTGGGGCTGGGAAAGCAGCAGTCTGGAACAGGTCTCTGTTGCCTTACTGCCTTGTATTGTCATCACCTGCGTGAAGTGGGTATCAAACTACCATTCACAGCCACTGATATACACTCTTAAAAAATGAGTAGTCCTGTGGCACCTTGGAGATTAACCACAAGAAAGCTCACGATTCTGTATATTTTGGTTAGTCTCTAGGGTGCCCAGGACTTCTCGTTGTTTTTAAAGTTAAAGACTAAGATGGCTACCCCTCAGAGATTATTCTACACTCTTGTCACGGGTGTGTGTAATAAAGTGCAAAGCAACTTCAGAATTTGGCTGTAGAGTTGTGCTCATCACCAGAGTGGGTTTTCATTGGGTGATGATTGACACTCCACTCCCTTGTCTCCTTTGAGTTGTGGACAGAGTTCCATGTTATCCCAGCACACTGAGCGATATGCAGCGTCGAACTCCACATTCTTAAAAATGCAGAGTATTTAGGGTGAGCCAAAATTAGACTAGACTATGGGCCTAACTATTGCGCGTACCACCATGGTCTGTTTTCTCTTCTTGTAGGTGATAATTGTCATCTTAGGAAACAAAACTGACCTCACTGACCAAAGACAAGTGGAAACAGAAGTAGCACAGCAGTGGGCAAAGGCTGAGAAGGTGAGACTATGGGAGGTGACAGTAACAGATCGGAAAACACTCATTGAACCTTTCACTTCGTTAGCCAGCAAACTTTCCCAATCCCAGAACAAGTCAGCATTTCCCTTGCCTGGAAGGAAGAGCAAAGGCAATAACTGTGATAACTAAAACCCCTCTTCCAGGGGAAGCTGTTTGCACTATCTGTGGCTGCAAGGGCATGGTGTCTTTTTTCCTGCCATTTGCTTGGCTTGTTTTTTTCTGAGGTAATACTGAATTCAGCATTAAAAGCAGCAAAGTTGTGAATGTAACCGTACTTCAGTCAAGTATTTTCTTCGAAAATCACAGGTGATCAAGATCTTAATCACTTCACAAGGAGGCACTTTGTAAAAATGTTGTAAAGGTGCTATTAATAGAGTCCTGCGCAGATACAAAAAGTGAGCTGCAGATACCTGTGAATTGCCACAAATCATAGGATTCTAGATACAAAATTTGTATCTGCATCCATATCTGCAAAAATGAGCTGTGGATATTCATCTAGATTCTGACAACAGGACAAGATATGAGATATGAAGGGCTGCAGTTATTAGCCTCACCCGCCAGAGCAGTTCATAAACACTGTTGCTGTCCATCTTCACAGGGCAGTTGCACTTTGTATTCTGTATAAGGACTAAGACTGTGCACACAATACATCTTAGGTCTGTATAAGTTATGTTACCTGGGGTGTGACTAAAGCACTCCCCAGAGCAATGTAATTTACATTGATCAAAATGCCTGCATGGATAGTATTAGAAGAGCTTTTCCCACTGACATAATTACTCCAGCCTTATGAGCAGTGGTAGCTAAGTTGACTGGGGAGCTCTCTCACATTAGCTTAGAGCATTTGCACTGCCAGCTGTAAGTTCTGTAGTGTAGCCATAGCCTAAACAAAGAATTGTGCGAACACCTAACGTCTTGTAGAAGAGGCTTAATGAATATAGTAAGAGGCCTGCTAGTGGTTGGTATAAAGTCAGCCAGCCAGCTCTGAATGGCAGATCAGCAGAAATGGTTGTGCAGATCCCTCAGGTGTAACAAGTGGCACATCTTCCAACAGCAGGAGCATGTTATATGAACTTGACCACACAGGATGGATCACCATGTTTCAGGGTTCTGCTGTCCCACTAATTTAAACAATGAACAGTTCCATACACTCCCAACAAGTGACATTTCCTGGTATTTTAAATAGCAGAGTGTTGGACTGTCATGAGGCAGTAAGACCTCAGGTTATTCATAGTGACACGTAAGCTGCTGAATATTGTCATTTGATAGTTACAATTTTGATGGCTGTTCTAAGTATGTGCCTGTAATACCCTTCTGCTACTTGATGGTACTAATAACTCAGTGAAAAGTATGAACAGTTAGTAACAATGGTGCAACATTACAATGTACCAAAACGAAGCAAGATTTTGCGATGGAGTAACTTGGATTACCTGTACAGTTGAACCTGTTTTTTTGCTTTGGTCCATGAAGTAGTTCAAAATAATTCTTCTTCCTGTGCCTAAGGCATATGCCAAGAGAAACTGTCAGCAATTACATCTTCAATCATTTGCTATTCCTTATGAATGAGCAAGCTCTTGTTACACTGTTAGGAACGTGCACATGTTTTTGTTGTATGATCACAGCTGACTAAGAGCTGTTACTATCAGAGCAGCATGGAATACCA